CCTTCACTCAAAAAAATTGATTTTGTCATTTGGGAGTTGTAGTTGCTGGGATTCATATTTCACCTATAATCAAAGAGCATTCTGAACTCCACCAATGATGGAATTGAACCAAACTTGACACACAGTTCTCCCATGACTAACAGAAAATACTGGAAGGGTTTGATGGGCAGTGTCCTTTGGTTTTGGAGTTGTAGTTCACCTACATCCAGAGATCACTGTGGACTCAAACAATGATGGATCTGGACCAAACTCTACACAAATATTCAATATGCCCAAATGTGGACACTGGTGGAGTTTGGGGAAAATAGAATCTTGACATTTGGGAGTTGTAGTTGCTGGGATTTATAGTTCACCTACAATCGGAGAGCATTCTGAACCCCACCAATGATAGAATTGGGCCAAACCTCCCACACAGAACACCCATGTGGGCCATAGCAACGCGTGGCAGGGGACCACTAGTACATAATAATGAAGCAGAAAGTGTTTGAGGACCGGGACATCCATAGGGATTACCAAGGTGCTTGTTTATAAAGCTATTGTCCTCCCAACCCTGCTATATGCCTACGAGATGTGGACTGTCTACAGACGTCACATGCAACTCGTAGAATGATTCCATCAGCGCTGCCTCTGGAAAATCCTGCAAATCTCTTGGGTAGGCAAGCGGACAAATGTCAGCGTGCTGGAAGAAGCAAAGACCACCAGCATTAAAGCGATGGTCCTCCGCCATCAACTCCGCTGGACTGGTCATGTTGTCCGGATGCCTGACCACCACCTCTCAAAGCAGTTGCCCTTCTCCGAACTCAAGTATGGAATGTACTACATAAATGGATAACAGGAATGAAGAATATACAAAAGGAAAAAAATGGTTGACAAATTAATAGCGTGCGCACAAATTGTATTATTGAGGGATTGGAAGGATAAAACAAAATGGACACTGACTAATTGGTATAACTATCTAGTTAATATGTTAAATGTGGAAATAACAAATTGTAAATGGAATAACATAGATAAAACTGAAAAGGTTACAATAACTAAAAGGATGTGGGAACCAGTTAGGAATTATTTAGAAAATGTGTTAAGATGTGGAGTAGAAAAATTAAGACTGAGACTGATATTTCAAATGTAACTTCTGTAGTTTGATGTATAAATTGTATATACAAGGAGGGGAGGGTGGGAGTGGGAAAAAACCCAATAAAAATTAAAAAAGAAAAAAGATAAAAAGAATGGAAAATGGAATGTTGGTGGGCAGGAAAAGAGATTTAAAGATGGGCTCAAAGTCAACCTTAAAAACTCTGGCATAGACATTGAGAACTGGGAAGCCCTGGCCCTTGAGCGTTCCAGCTGGAGGTCAGCTGTGACCATCAGTACTGTAGAATTTGAAGAGGCACGAATGGAGGGCGAAAGAGAGAAAAACTCCAACCATCACCTAAGTCAAAAAATAAGCAGCATTAAAGCCCTGGCAGACTGTGCAAAAAGAATCTGCCAACCCCACCTCCTCCAAGATGAACTGAACCACCTCAACTGGGCTCTACAGGCCAATGGATACTCCACCTCAGACATCAGAAGAGCTGCAAGACCGAGAACAAGCCACGAGAGTAAAGACCAAGATCCACCCAGAGGAAAAGTGTTCTTGTCATACATCAAGGGAACCACTGACCGCATAGGGAAGCTGATGAGGAAACACAACATACAAACTATCTACAGACTCACCAAGAAAATCCAACAAATGCTATGTTCAGCAAAGGATCTTCTCACTTCTGCAGGAGTCTACTGTATACCATGCAGCTATGGACAAGTCTACATAGGGACCACCAAACGCAGCACCCAGACACGAATCAAGGAACATGAAAGGCACTGCAGACTACTTCAACCAGAGAAATCAGCCATAGTAGAGCACCTGATGAACCAACCTGGACACAGCATTTTATTTGAGAACACAGAAATGCTGGACCACTCTCACAACCACCATGTCAGACTACACAGAAAAGCCATTGAAATCCATAAGCATGTGGACAATTTCAACAGAAAGGAGGAAACCATGAAAATGAACAAAATCTGTATTAAAAAAAAACTCTAAAATTACAACAGCAAAACAACAGAGAAGAAACAATGTGAGACATCTAATCACCTCTCACCAAAAGATTCCCCCAGGCACTGCCAGCCATACCAAACAACAGCCAGGTCATCAAATGCTAATCAAGGTGGTCAGCTGAAACATTCACACCTAGCTCCATCAGACAAGAGTCCTTTGTCTCACTCTGGTCATTCCAAAGAAACATAAACCCAATTTTCCTAGTTCCAACAGACCTCACTACCTCTGAGGATGCTTGCCATAGATGCAGGCAAAACGTCAGTTGAGAATGCCTCTATAACATGGCCATACAGCCCGAAAAAACCTACAACAACCTATAATTATATATTTTATATTACATGTAAAATTACTAATAATATTACAATATAATGGTGTAGTACAATATAGTAATATATAATACTGATATTGTACTATGCTAATAATTTAATATAGTGTATGTATAGGGAAATGCGAAAGACTGCTCAAACTTCCGTACAGTGGCCCTTATTTCTCATGCCAGTAAGGTAATGCTCAAGATCCTGCAAGGAAGACTCCAGCAATACATGGAGCGAGAGTTGCCAGATGTTCAAGCTGGGTTTAGAAAAGGCAGAGGAACGAGAGACCAGATTGCCAATATCCGCTGGATAATAGAGAAAGGCAGGGAGTTTCAGAAAAACATCTATTTCTGCTTCATTGACTATTCTAAAGCCTTTGACTGTGTGGATCATAATAAATTGTGGCAAGTTCTTGGTGGTATGGGCATACCAAATTCACCTTGTCTCTCTCCAGAGGAATCTGTATAAGGACCAAGTAGCAACAGTCAGAACTGACCATGGAACCACAGACTGGTTCAAGATTGGGAAAGGCGTACGGCAAGGCTGCATCCTCTCACCCAACCTTTTTAACTTGTATGCAGAACACATCATGCGATGTGCGGGGCTTGATGAATGCAAGGCTGGGGTGAAAATTGCTGGAAGAAACATTAACAACCTCAGATATGCAGATGACACCACCCTTATGGCCGAAAGCGAGGAGGAGCTGAGGAGCCTTCTAATCAAGGTGAAAGAAGAAAGCGCAAAAGCCGGGTTGCAGCTAAACGTCAAAAAAACCAAGATTATGGCAACAAGAATGATTGACAACTGGGAAATAGAGGGAGAAACCGTGGAGGCCGTGACAGACTTTGTATTTCTATGGGCAAAGATTACTGCAGATGCAGACTGTAGCCAGGAAATCAGAAGACGCTTACTTCTTGGGAGGAGAGCAATGTCCAGTCTCGATAAAATAGTGAAGAGTAGAGACATCAGACTGGCAACAAAGATCCGCCTAGTCAAAGCTATGGTATTCCCTGTAGTAACCTACGGATGTGAGAGCTGGACCTTAGGGAAGGCTGAGCGAAGGAAGATCGATGCTTTTGAACTGTGGTGTTGGAGGAAAGTTCTGAGAGTGCCTTGGACTGCGAGAAGATCCAACCAGTCCATCCTCCAGGAAATAAAGCCCGACTGCTAATTGGAGGGAAAGATACTAGAGACAAAGTTGAAGTACTTTGGCCACATCATGAGGAGACAGGAAAGCCTAGACAAGACAATTATGCTGGGGAAAGTGGAAGGCAAAAGGAAGAGGGGCCGACCAAGGGCAAGATGGATGGATGGCATCCTTGAAGTGACTGGACTGACCTTGAGGGAGCTGGGGGTGGTAACGGCCGACAGGGAGCTCTGGCGTGGGCTGGTCCATGAGGTCACGAAGAGTCGGAGACGACTGAACGAATGAACAACAACATGTATATATATCTATATCTTGTAAGCCGCTCTGTGGAGCCCCTGGTGGCGCAGTGGGTTAAAGCGCTGAGATGCTGAGCTTGTTGACTGAAAGGTCGCAGGTTTGATTCCAGGGAGCGGCGTGAGCTTCCGCTGTCAGCCCTAGCTTCTGCCGACCTAGCAGTTCAAAAACTTGCAAACGTGAGAAGGTAACGGTGCTCAATGCTGTCATGCTGGCTACATGACCTTGGAGGTGTCTATGGACAACACCAGCTCTTAGAAATGGAGATGAGCATCACACCCCAGAGTCAGACATGACTGGACTTAATGTCACGCGAGAACCTTTACCTTAAGCTGCTCTGAGTCCCCTTTGGCGGTATATAAATGTTGTAAATAAATAAAGAACTAAATAATGTGGGATTTTATTCAGCTGTGTGGAAGGGGGTCTTAGATAACCCAGTTGAATGCAGATATTGAGAATTACCTGCTTTGATATTCTGGGGCCCCTTCCACACAGCCATATAACTTAGAATATCAAGGCAGAGGTGTTTGGATGATAGCTGGGTCCGTATCGGCTTTGAACTGGGTTATCTGAGTCCACACTGCCATATAACCCACTTCATGTAGGATTTTATACAGATGTGTGCAAGGGGCCAAACTTGCTGCTACACTGTAGAGTTAAAGCAGTTTGACACCACTTTAGCCGCTATTGTTCAATGCTATGGAATCATGAGGGGTTGTGGTTGGTGAGGAAGGATCACTCCTTGGCAGAGAAGGTTGGAGACCTTGTAAAACTACAACTCCAATGTGGGAGAATGGCAGGCGCGCAGGCCCCGTGGCGGTGGGCGAGGATGCCGAAGCCCCTTCCCACAGAGGCCTGCTTTCCCGCCTAACGCAAAGCACTCACGGTCGGCGCTCGCGGCCAAGCGGCTCTTCAAGGCCTGCTTCCAGTCCATTTTCGGGGACGCCGCGAGCCCATTCAAGAACCTGCCCGGTCTCCATCGACCGTTAACAGTAACATCCGGGAAACCGAGCTCTTGTCACGTGGCCGTCGCCGCCATCTTAAGTGTGGGCGAACAAAAGGCTTCACGAGGAAGAATGAAAGGGAACGTGGGCCCTTAAGTAATATGGCTCCTGCTGGCCCTCGCAACTTCTCTATTTCTGGAGAAGACCCGCACAGGTCAGCTGATGCAGTTGGAGCGCTCTCATTGGCTGAGGAGGCTTCAAGCGTGATTTCCCCTTTGAATGCCCAAGGTCTTATGAGAGGTAACTATTATCTCTGTTTTCGTTCAGTCAGGTCGGTTGTACGGTGTTTACTCATTTTCTTTGGGAGCTGTTGAAAAGTTTGGCTCAATGTTGTAGAATCAAGGGATTTGTAGTTTTGCAAGGCCTTTAGCCAAAGAGTGCTGGATTTCCAGGATTCCATAGCAATTAAACTGGTCTCAAACTGCATTAATTCTGCATTGTGGATTCTTCTCAGGCCTCTTCCACACAGCTGATTAAAACCCCACGTTTTCTGCTTTGAATTGGATTATATGGCAGTGTGGACTCAGATAACCCAGTTCAAAGCAGATATTATGGGATTTTCTGCCTTGATATTTTGTTTATATGGCTGTGTGGAAGGGCCCTCAGGATTGAGGGGATAAATTTGGGAGGAGGCCAGTCAGTTATGCTTGCTTGAAGTCAGTGGAAGAACTCCAGCATATACATAAATGTGTTATTTGAAAAGCATAGAAAAATCTCTGGAGGATAGATCCCTATAATAAGACAAAAGTGAAACCTGGGGTGCATAACTCACCCTGACTGTTTGAGCATTAACCATTGCTTATAAATATTGTAAAACCAATTTAAATCCTTAATATTTATGTTTAATTTATGCTTTCATTTATTTTAAAGCCTTATCAAGAAAGTATAAAATGTGTAGGTACCGAACAATGTATAATATACAATGTAATATGAGTTACAGCCATAGTACAGACAATGTACAGGGTGTCCCAAAAGTCGCCATACATAGGGAAAATGGGACATTGCAGCAAAATGTACCTTTATTTACAAATTATTTATATTCATTACAAAATTTTACAAATCATTCTTTATGTGTTATATATCTGAAAGTATAAAATACTAAAATATAAATATCAAAATATATATTATATGTAATATGGGTTTGCTAATTTTTTCCCCTAGGTATGGAGACTTTTCGGTCACCCTGTACATTATGTGTTGCAATAATTCCTTTCTATCAGAATCTCAAAAATCACAAGAATTCGATCCAAATTTAGTTCTGAAACTTTAAATTGCACCAGCTCCATTGCATCCTATTGAGTGTTTATAAGGCTGCAATGCTATAACCTAGGATCAGGGGTTGGAATTGTACAAATCTTGTTGAACCGCAAAGTACAGCAGCCTTCGCCAGGAGAGCCAATGAAAAATACTTGAAGTTATTGATCAACAATGTCTGGAGAGTTGGATGAGAGCTGTTCAGCAGAGGAACTCTCTACCCCGGAATGTGGTGGAGGCTGCTTCTTTGGAGGTTTTTAAACAGAGGCTGGATGGCTTTGCAATGTTTTGCTTTGGCGCTTTGAATGCGATTTTCCTGCTTCTTGGCAGAGGGTTGTACTGGATAGCCAACAAGGTCTCTTCCAACTCTATGATTCAATGATTTCTATTCCTGTTTAGGAGTAACTCCAATTGGGCTTACTTTTGAGGATACATGCATAAGATTTTGTGGTAAGAAAACTGAAATTCATTAACAGCAATATCTGTGGTTCTGTTTTTATCCTTGATTTGTACCCATTTGTATTACAGTAAGAGATTTTCTCATGCTGAATCGACACTGCCAAATAGTGCAGTTTGAACTGCATTATATATACAGTGTATTTACTTATTTGCTTCAATTATACCCCGCATTTTTAACCTGGAGGGGATTCAAGGCGACTTACAGCTCCAGCAAAATTCAATGCCATATACAACATAACAACAAAACCAGGCCCCATCAACTATAAAACAATTAAAACACATGGGCAAATACACTAAAAAAAAAGCTTAATAACATATAAAGTGCTTAATTAAATTCATCCATAATCCTTGTTCATAATCCTTATTCAGACCATGTCGAAATCCGTAAAGTCTTATTCTCCAAACACCTGCATTCAGAGTCAGGTCTTTAGCTCCCGACCCGCCCCGCCGAAGATCAGGAGGGATGAGGCTTGCCTGATGTCACTGAGGAGGGATTTCCACAGCTGATGGGGCACCATTGAGAAGACCTTATCTCTCATCCTCACCAATTGCGCTTTCAAAGGAGGTGGAATCGAGAGCAGGGCCTTCCCAGCAGTTCTCATTGGCACATAAGGGGAGATGCATTCGGACAGGGAAGTTGGACCAGAACTGTTTAGGACTTTATGGGTAAAAGCCAACACTTTGAATTGCGCTTGCTAGCAATCGTCAGTGTAGACCCACATAATGCACTTTGAACTGCATGAGCTGCATTATGGGGTCTACACTGACCAGTTCAAGCTACATTATTTGGGAGTGTAGATCGAGCCATCACCCGATGGAATAACATATCAGGCTGATGATAGTGTGAATACCATATGGGGAAGCATTCAAGAAAGTGTCCATGATAGCACTGAGTTCCAGAGACATTGTCGACCAAACAGCCAAACCAAACTAGCACTAGTGGCTTGTTATCAGAATTGCTTTCTTGATTTGTCAAGGAGACTTAAAACTGAGGACCCTTCCACACAGCCATATAACCCAAAATATCAAGGCAGAAAATCTTAATATATCTGCTCTGAACTGGGTTATCTGAGTCCACACTGCCATATATTCCAGTTCAAAGCAGATAATGTGGGATTTTATTCATCTGTGTGGAAGGGGGCTGAGAAAGGCTACCACTCCTTGTGAATCCTTTGAATCTTCTAATTTCTTCAGACTTTCAAAACAGATTTTCCAATAGAAGATAATTCTGCAAAGTGTTTCAAAAAGATGAACCCAATTTGAAATCACTATATCTGTGAAACCACGAACCAGCCATGAATGAAACTGTTGTCACTTGAAAGATTGGGGCGTAGAGTTGCAAATTTGTAATGATATACTTGTATTGATTTACTCTTACTGATCAGTAGAACACAAAATGCCTTATGTTGTGGATTGCCATCTGCCGAATGATTGAGGCCAGGGGCTGTTTGTGCACTGGGAGAGTAGTTTAGTGCAAGGGTCCTCAAACTTTTTAAACAGAGGGCCAGGTGAGAGTCCCTCAAACTGTTGGAGGGCCGGATTATAATTTGAAAAAAAAACCAAACATGAATGGATTCCTATGCACACTGTATATATCTTATTTGCAGTGCAAAAAACACTTAAAAATAATACAATAATTAAAATGAAGAACAATTTTAACAAGTATAAACTTATAAATATTTCAATGGAAAGTGTGGGCCTGCTTTTGGCTGATGAGATAGGATTGTTGTTGTTGTGTGCTTTCAAGTTGTTTCAGACTTATGTTGACCCTGTGCGAGGGCTGGGTAAATTACCTTGGAGGGCCGTATTTGGCCCCCAGTCCTTAGTTTGAGGACCCTTAATCTACTGGTAATTATTGGAAACTCTGTGCCCCACCCTTTCAAGAAGTAAGCATTTAATTCATGGGTGGTTCTTGATTGTAAAGATAGCAATTTTAAATCAAGTCTATTTTTTTGAAACACCCTGGTATACTGCTGAACATTGAAGAACAGGAATTCTGTGGTCGAAAATAAGACACAGAAGCTGTAATAGGCAGACATGGATGGGTATATGTTGATTACAGGTTGCAAAGATGTATTTCATTTTGTGACAGTTTGGAGAAGAATTATCGTATGTTTCCTTTTTTATGTAGCCTGACCTGCTTTGACTGAAAAGCTGACCTCATTCTGCCTACTTCAGCATTCAAGTGTGAAGATATGGTGGGGATGTTAAAGACGAACTTATATCACATGTTCTTTACATTCTGAAATAATCATGAAGACTGTAAAAACTGACAGTTTAATGAAACATATCTGGTGGCCTGTGTCATATTTCTCAGTTGTGGCAAGGCTTTGAATATATTTTTATATTCCATACATTTGTTGCTAGGTTTATCACTTCAAGATTTTCTCTTTCAATTCCTCAACATCATGTTTTCTATTCAAACAAGCAGCTGTGTCCTACAGACACTACTGAAGAACTACTACACGTTCTATCCTAGACCTCAAAAATGGCCTGCTACTTTTGGGTGCTTCATATTTACCACATCAAATCAGAGGATAAAAAATCCAGTGGATCCCAAACCAGGCACTTCCATGTGGCGATCTAAAGGAAGAGATGAAGCAAAAGGGGAGAGAAGGACTGGCAAAGATTTTTCTTCTCCTTTCAATGTGTTTTCTGCTGGAGCCTCCAAGAAGAGAGCTGTGCTTGCAGACTTGTCAAATGGAGAGCAGCCTATTATTTCGGGTAAGAAGACAACACTCTCCCCTCCAGAAAAGCCCCTAAGTGCCGAGGAGTGGGGAAAGTTGATGGAGGAATTCCAGGGATATAAACAGTTTGAAGAGTTTATGTTTGCGCAAATGATTGCTCACAATAGCCCCATAGAGGTGGCCAAGTCTTTACTAGCTGCAGTGGCACAGCGAGATGGAGATATTGGGTATAATCTTCTAGTGAAATACTTGGTTCTCTGTGTTTCTCAGAAGCAGACAAAGGAGATTTATGATGTTCATGACATTATGAAAGCCAGATTTAAAACTTTAGAAACATCAGCATCTAGTCTTCTCATCAAAGGACTGAGTGATTCGCAGCGCTGGAGGGACGCCTTGGTACTGCTAGAGGAACTAAAAAAATTCATAACCCCTTCAAAGGGAAATTATGGAGACTGCATCAAGGCAGCCCTTGCAAACAGGGAAATAAATCCGGCATGTACGTTATTTCACGAGATGCTAGCTAAGGATGTGACACCAAACTTAGACGTCCTGCAGTTTTTCTTTGATGCTGGCAAATGTGTAAACGATGCTGATTTGAAAAATGAACTCATGTACATCCTTAATTATTTAAGAAGTAATCAAGTATATCCTGGAGAAGCTCTTATGGAAAGTATAAAGCACTGGTTTGAAAGGTGAGTTAGTCACAGGTTATTTTCATTTAGCCAGATTCTTGTATGAAGATTGTCTTTTATAAAAATTGAATCATATTAGCTTAGGCTACTGATCCATTTATCTGAAGGTATCTGATGTTTATCTCTTTATACCTATTATAGGTTATAGTACATTATTGGACTTGTTGTGTGCCTTCAGGTTGTTTCCAGCTAATGGCTATTCTAAGGCAAACCTGTCACTGAGATTTTATTGAAAGGTTTATTTACAGGGGGCTTGCCTTTGCCTTCTTCTGAGGTTGAGAGAATATGTGGCTGATTGATTATTTGTACTCTGGTCTCCAGAGTCCTATTCCAGTGTACAACCACTGCACCACATTGGCTCTCCAATGCTATGATATGGCCACAATATTTTTGTGAGAAAAGTCTTCATGAATAAAGCACCTTTAGCAAGAGAAAGGGAGAAAAGACTTCTTTCTGACTCCCAGTGTGTATGTGTATACCTATCTCTATATTTGTATGCACAATTGGACTTAAGAAATCTGAGTTCAGCCACATAATTTTTAAAAAACCAAACCACTGTGTGGAAAACAATCAATTTTTTTCCAGCATTCTTTAGGACCTCATCATAATAATAACATATACTGTTGGTCACTGGGGATGATTTTAAATGTTTTTGGTGTGTCCTATTGATAATATATGCATAAAATAAATTAATTGAAAACATGTTGCAGCACATTTATTTGTTTTCAAAGTCTGTGTCAAATGTGCTTATAACTGAAGTTGTACTTTTAATTAATCAGGGATGAGAAATGTGCAGTTCTCCAGAAGTTGTTGATTGTAATTTCTCATGTTCACTATCTGCTGTCCAGGATAGCTGGGAGAAGCAGTTCAAGAATGGTTAAGAGGCTGCACAGTTAACATCCCTTCTGCACATGCTTGTTAAAAGTAAGGTTTGTAATGCTGGAAAAGCTTTATTTACAGGAAAGATGGTAAACATAGTTTTGATGTAATTTGAGGAGTGTTTCTTTTGGCCATGGGTTAAATTGATTTGTTTGTTAATTTTTGTGCAATCTTTTGTAGCATTCCAGGTGAAAGGTGGAAGGGGAACTTAACTACTGTGAAAAATAGGTAAAGCTATTTATGGTCTTAATTTCAAGCTACCATATATATAATATTTTTGTTCTTTTAGATTTTTCTGATGCTTGTCTCAAAGTTACATTTCATTAAGTTCTATTGATGTCATCAGATCAATTCTCTTTATGTGTCACTTTTTTAGTGTCCCCAACTTTTTGGTGAGGCACTAAGTGGCTAGGTAAAATGAGCTTCCTCTGACATGATTAAAAACAAGATCGGAAGCATTCACATCCATTTTTATTGTAGTTTAGCATTGTGTCTGAATAAAAAAGAAACCTCTGGTTAATCTTAATTATGATTTACTGAAAAACATCAGTTTCAGGCCATGAGTTACAAAGCTGGTGTGTTTCAGTAAACTATAATTAAGACTGACTGTAGTCTGCATTTTGATGCAGAACTGCAATTTTTTGGAAGCCGGAACTCCAAATCGCCTCATGCCCTGCTGGAGGAAGAAGCATACATGCTCCAGCTTGACCAAGTGCATTCAGGTCAAAGCCAGACTTCATGGCTGTCTTGACATGAGGCCACTGGAATATTGTCCTGCAAGATTAGGATCTAGAGATTTATACATACACCTGTTTAGCTAATCTAGGATTCATTTTTATCAATAACTCACAAAATTTACTAGAATGAAGTATTACTTCCTACTGCCATATTACCAAAGGAGATCTTTGCCTGCCTGGTTACCAGGCATGCTCTTAAATACGGGGCCACTTAGCTTGTTATATTAGGAGGAATCAACTTTTGAAATGCTGCTGTTTTATAAATTGCTGATAAACCCAATGTGTCATTTTTATTGGCATGGCAGTGGACAGTGTTCGTCTTGTGAGCAGTTCTTGGAAAGTATTAATTTGACTGAAGATGAATATGACATCCTCAAAGAAAAAATAATAAAGGATGTTATACAAGGGACTGACACATTTCGGAAAACAACTCCCCAGGTAAGTTGCACTATTTAAATATCTGTGTATGTTAACATTGCTCTGAAAGATCATTTTGTGTTTAAAATGTGTTTAAATACAGATCGGATGGCCATCTGTCAGGAGTGCTTTGATTCCTGTGTGGTAGAGGGTTGGACTGGATGGCCTTGTGGTCTTCTCCAATTCTGTTTATATGATTTTTTGTTTGCTCATCTATAGTTGGGCATATAGCTGAATGGTCTCCCATGCCACCTCCTTGAGGCTTAATAGCATAACAAATATCATCAAATTTATGTTTGCTATAGAATGAAGTGTATAAGCTACAATATGTCCACATGTGAAATGTCAGGCAGCTGTTCTTAACGTTTTTAAGCAGACATTTGAGTAACCAGGCTTTTGATACGAATTTCTTTTTCTGTTTTTTTTTTAACTTTTATGCATCATAAGCATTTCTGAAAAGTTTTTACAGATGAGATAAGGTGAGGGTCTCACCAGGTTTATTGTATGATTTTGAGCACACCGTTCTATATTGTCAGTGATAACTTGGCAGTTATTCATGAATTTGTCTACTTGGTATTTTGCAAAATTTAAACATCCCAAGATAAAGCAGAACAACAAAAACATTATCAGGAAATGGCAAATAGTAGATTTCCAGATGTGGGCTTATAAGTTTTGTGAACCCTAACCATTGGCAGTAGTGAGAAATACCGACTGAAATGGCAATTCAACAACATCTGGAAGGCCATGGGGTTCTCATCCTTGTTTTAAAAGATCTTTAGGAGTTAGAAAATCACATTGTATGTTATGCATTCTTTGTATGGAAAATAACCCCACTAGATGGTGCTGATGTTGCAGTTTTCATATGTTATTTTATTTTATTTATTTATTTACTACATTTGTAGACCGCCCTTCTCAGCCCTAGGGCGACTCACGGCGGTGTACAACATATAAAAACCAGGTACAATTTCAACAAAGCAATTACACATCAACAATAAACAACAGCACTATCAATAATACAGTTACACTAAATCATTCGCCACGTCTCATCGTTGAATCATAATCCGAATCTCATTATCCATGTTCCGTTCTAATTGTCATTGCCAATTGTTGCAGCACTTACACAAACGCCTTCTCAAAGAACCACGTCTTTAGTCTCTTGCGGAATGTCATAAGGGAGGGCGCCACTCTGATGTCCACAGGGAGGGTGTTCCACAGCCGGGGGGCCACCACCGAGAAGGCCCTATCCCTAGTCCCCGCCAGGCGTGCCTGAGAGGCGGGCGGGATCAAGAGAAGGGCCTCCCCGGACGATCTCAAAGTCCTCGTGGGCTCATAGATACAGCTAGTCATTAACATGACTAGCTGTATCAGAAATTATGGAGATGATGATCTAGGATTTTCCGAACATTAAAATATAACTGTTGCAGTTTAATATACTGTATTGATTGGAGTAGATCATTTTTAATCAGAACCACAAGGTGGAGCATCCTTGCACTTTCTACACTTTTCAGTATTCCATAAAAGAAACTATAATGTATGAGGCACTGACTATTTTAAAGAGTAGTAATCCTCATATTATGGTGACGTAAGGAGAAAGACAAACCCCTAGAATTAAGAAATAAATAATGACATTTATGGGAAAATATTTCAGGGATGAAGTTCAGTGTCAATCTGAGTCCAAGTGTGATAACCTAGGAGAAACTTCCCTGCAGGTGCTGCTTCCAACCTGAGCTCTTCCTACCTCTGAGAAGCCAGGGTTCTTGAGAGGAAAACACTGATTAAATCAAGCCTGCCAGAAGCCTCCTCACTAAACCTGCAAATTCTTTGTCTCGGGAAGTTGGGAAAGGCTCTTCCATTGTGGTAAAGAAGCCCAGGAGCTCTATTTGGGTTATACAACATACATAGCCCTTTTGGAAATGATTGCAACTGCTTGTCTCTTTATTTTTAATGCCCGTTAGGGTGATTTGTATTTGTAATCAGGTGGATGTACACGTGTTCATTCTTGCAATGCCACAGTGACTCACTATAAGACATGCACACACATCATTGGCATTCCCCTCTCTATTTAGTCACACTGTGAATCAACTCAGGTGCTTTATGTGTATTACATGTAAATTAATTGTTGAGCATGATTCCGTTATTGTTAATTCTCTATGGGATCACTTTTATTGTACTACCTTTTTTTTAGATAAGCGCTGTTAGAAAATTTTTTATACATATTTCTAAGCCAGGACATAATTAAGGTCATAAACCTGACTCATGCTACAGTATTATGAAGAAGGTGCACTTCTAGTGAATTGCAATTTAGGGTTGCTATCATATTGTTGTTCTTGTGTGCCTTCAAATAATATTTGACTTATGGTCATTCTCAGGAAACACGAACCTGGCTAGATTTGTTCAGATGAAACCTCCCTTTACCTTGGCCTTCCTGAGATTGTGAATTACCCAAGGTTACACAGTGGGCTTCCATGGCTGAGCCAGGATTTGAATCTGAGTCTCCAGATTCATAGCCTAACATTCAAACAAATGCACCTTGCTGGCTAACTTCCAGATTAGGCTTTTATATACAAATACCATGCCCCTGGTGGCGAAGCTGCTGAACTTGCTGACCGAAAAGTTGGTGGTTCGAATCCGGGGAGCAGGGTGAGCTCCCGCTGTTAGCCTCAACCTGCCAACCTAGTAGTTCAAAAACATGCAAATGTGAGTTGATCAATAAGTACCTCTTCTGCAGGAAGGTAACAGTGCTCCACGCAGTCATGCTGGCCACATGACCTTGGAGGTGTCTATGGACAACACCGGCTCTTCGGCTTGGAAATGGAGATGAGCACCACCCCCCAGAGTCGGACATGACTGGACTTAATGTTAAGGGAAACCTTTACTTTACCATGCCACATTTACAAACTTTTACAGGAAGTCCATACAACAATGTAATCAATTTGCAGCCTTCTAATATGTTGTTCTACCATGATGCCTGTATTTTTTAATTACTAGAAATTGCTGTACAGTTCCTTTTGGTTAACATTTACATTTAACTATAGTTGTTTGGGCTGTTATACTTCAGTTAGTCATGATAGATGTCCTGAATATAGAATATGAAGACGTACAGTATTTATTCCACTAAAGAAGCAAGTATCGGTAATCCTAATATCCAGAAGAATAGACGAACAAATGAATGCATTGTTAATCCTGTTTTTATTTTACAAAATTGCTTGTTCCTCAGTCAAGAAATGCACATAATGAAGAGACAATAGGATAAGTAGCTTGTGCCCCAAGACTTACCTCTATTCTTTAGTTTAGTAGAAAGTTCAACCTGTTATAATAAGTCCAATTTTCTTTCCAGTTTCAAATGATATTAATAAATAATGGAGAAAGTAAGCGAAGCTAAAGGCTCTACAGTTAGACTCAGCGAAATAAAGTTTTTGGTGAAATATAAGGCAAATATATATATTGTTACAAATATTCCAGTAACAAAAATATCCACAAACCTTGAATTTATTTATTTATTTATTTGCAGTGCTTATATTCCACCCTTCTCACCCCGCAGGGGACTCAGGGCGGATTACAATGTACACATTTATGGCAAACATTCAATGCCAAAGACACACAACAGATAGGCAGACAGTCAGAGGCTATTTAACTTATTCTGGCCACCAGGGGAGCTGTCGTTTTCATCGTCCATCTGCGACACTGATGAAGTTCCTCTGCATTCCTCGCATGCTTTGCTGGAGTCTTTTTTATGGCCTCAAGAATTAGTTAAATTAGCCTCCCCACACATAAGTGGTACCTAATTTTCCTCCTTGACAGATGCAACTGTCTTTCGGGTTGCAAAGGTCGACAACAGGCTAAACAATTGGTCAGAAGCTCACTCGACCTGGGCTGGCTTCGAACTGATGATCTTTTGATCAGAAGTGATCTTAATGCAGCTGACACTCAACCAGCTGCGCCACAGTCCCGGTGAATCTCACATTTAAACTGCATGCGCTAAACCAGATGACATGATTTACAGCACTGGAAAATTTTCCAGTTCTGTATTTTCTAGAAAACCCACGTTCCTATTATTAGTGCTAGGAACCATCTCTTTGGGTTCTTTTAAAAAGGGAATGCAAATTCTGTAAACTTCAATTAATGGGGTATATAGGGTTTAGCTGGAAAGTTCACATATATATGAGCTGTAAGGCAATTCAGTTGCAAAGTTGTAATCTCATCTTGGCAGAAAAGCTGGATATTGATTCAACAAATAAAATAAATGCACCCAATCTAAGTCAACAGTGTGTCATATACAGATCTGAATATACATTTCTAGAGGCCCTGCCACCATCAATGCTCCCCACCTTTATTTGTGATAGAGCAGTAGGATAGGAAACATTACTGTTTTGTATTCTCTCCTGCTAAGCAGAGCTTGAATGAAAAACAGTCTCCAGTTTAAGAACCTAAAACTAGTCATCAACCTAAAACTAGTAGAAAATGCTGCTAGAACACGGCCATATAGCCACACAACACTTCAGTGATTCTGGTCATGAAAGGCTTTGACAATACTAGTCATCTCTATTGACATATCTTGTCTTGTGTTCTCTGCTTGCTGCTTCTAACAGTGCATGTTAAGGATGATGATGCACTCCACTTGGCATTTGACTTTTTCATATTAATTTGAATGTAATGTTAGCTAGTAATCATCATCTTCCACTGATTTGTTTGTTAGACAAAAGAATGTGCTAACAACTTAATGAGCCATTAAAGTGATTCAGTTCTGTTTCCATCCTCTTCTCAGCACTCCCATTTTTAAAATCAAACTTTAAAAAAAATTAGTTTCAATCCAATTTGATCGAGCATTTTCCCCAAATATTATTTTAAAAACTCATGCAAAAATTAATCTTCTATTTCCTAAATATGTCATATCTTTCTTTCTCTCATTCATACTACTTTCACAGAGAAATATTTGTGGAGCTCGATTCCTAAAGGTACTAAATATATCTAAACAAATTTTTACAATAAATGAAAAAAAAACATCCTAAGGATATGCATTA